TGAGTTTAAGAGTTGCATCTTTTGCTGTTAGGTTCCTAATTACATTCATGATATCGTTGCCTGGAGTTTCAAACCATTAGTAGAATTTGATAGCGTAATCATCAGCTACATAACATAAATTTGTATGACCAACATGTTCAGTAGTTTATCTCAAAGATAAACTGGAGTCATCCTGACTAATTTGACTAAATCCGAGCATGCACTTTGATATGGTATGTATGGCCCAGTTTTCTTCAATCATGAATAATGTATTGCATTAATCACTCTTGCCATTCCCTTCTTCCAAGCTCTGAAATCTTACACAGAGTGAATTGCACCGTCCAGCTTTATTGATAATGGCAAGCTCCTCATACTGTCGTAATGTAAGAATGGTTGTACTGGCTAGACCAAAAATCTACCTAGCCATGCAACTTGCCTCTGATGATGGCCACTATAAGCATCTTTATGCTTAAGGAAATTATTTAACATAAGCACATACGTTACATATTTAAATATTTTACATCTTTTACATGAGTTAACACATGGTATCTGTAATGGAGGAAGCATCACTGAATATTTTACCCTGTCTAGGAGTTTGTCCTATTCCTTCTGTAATGATAAATTTGCAAAGGTGTAAGTAATTTTTTTTTTTCTTTGCTGTGAATGGTACTTTCCCAGAGGGCTGGTTTAAGAGTAAACACAGCCAGGACTCTTGTTTGCTGGAGTCTTTCTCCAAGTGTAACTTGTTTGGCCCTTTGCCATGATGGTCTGGCAATCTGGATTTGCAAGTGGATCAGAGGCAGAAAGCCGTATAACTTGGAAGATATGGATGCCAGTGTCTAAAACCAGGGGATGGCTTCATTTTAGTGGCATTTGGTGGTTTCACTACAGTCCCCATAACCTCTCCTAGTCCTCTCGTCCCCAAACCCTCCACCACTGTAATAAGTGCCATGTTCTGCCATTGAAGTCACTGATTTTAATAGATAACGACATGCCCAAACTTACAGGGACATGACACAATATTCTTAAGTGACTGGTCAACTGCAGTTCAAGAGCTATTTCATCGGTGCTTTATTTTTTCCCCCCACTTCAGTTGCTGTAAATCAATACAACCTGGAAAAGATTTCAGGTTACCTGGGAGGCTGAAGCTAAAGAGAAGATACTTAGAAAAGCCACAAGAAATCAAAATTTTATGCTCAAACTCTTTAAACTGAAAAACTAACTGACCAGTGCTATCAGGGGGCGGGAAATATATGTTTGTTGGGGAATGGCTCGACTGTGAATCCTGTGTCTCAGTGAAGGAAGAGAGCCGCTTGGAGCTGAAGGAAAGGAAGGTGCAAATAAAGGCTGAAGTATCATGTAAGCGCAGCAGGGCTGGCGGAGAGGGACCGCGCCAGGCTGTAGAAGTCACGTTGTGAAGCAAAAAAAAGGGATTGTTGTGTCGGGTGACAGCGGATAAGCCCCATAGTGACGGCTTGCTGCGGTGACCCCGGGCAGAAAAACATGTAATGCAGAGACACTTCTTTGTATGGGAATCAGTAATGGTAGCAGGAACATGGTGTGGAGGACGGCTGCAGCCCAGATGCGAGTGGATGACGGAAAACATCTGGGGAAGGGGGCAGGAGCCGTGGTGACCCAGACGCTGCCTGGGGCCAGGAGGGGTACACCGCCGG